ACAACTCCACAAACATTTATTGAGCATCTAATATAGACTAGACCACATTCTAGGGACAAGGAATACAGCTGTGAACCAGACAGACATCACCAAAATGGGGATATTAATAGTACTGAAGTTGAAATAAGCCCCGAGCCCAGGAACTGTTATCAGGAGTTTTCTTACTCTGCTCTAAACTTTCAATGGCTCCCCAGTGCCCTGAAGGGAATAATGTTTCATCTCGTTGGGTTACAAACAGCTGGGCTCTTCTTCTTTGCCAACTCAGTCTACTCCTGATTTTACTACTTACCAGCTGTGCAACCACGGGTAAGTTACATGTGCTTCTCGAAGCCTCAGTTTCCTTTACTGTAGAATGGGGATAATGATATCAATCATATAATATTGTTGTGGATTAAAAGAACTATGTCTGGCACAAGAGTAAGCACTCCACAAATGTTAGCTATTATTATTATTTATTTTTAAAATTATTGCTATTTGTGGCAGAGTCTCAAGACTCCCTTGCAGCTAAATGTGGTCATGGGACTAAATCCTAGCTAATGGGATATGAGCAGAAGTGATTTGTGTAATTTTTGATTTGCTCCCTTAAAGGGACGGATATGCACTACTCTTGTCCTTTTCTTCCCTCTCAGGCTGGAACTAAGACATAAGGGCAGGATCCTGAGCAGCTGTCTTGGATCACGAGGAGGTAGCTGTGTGGTGGGGATGGAAGAGCAAGAACTGGAGAACCCTTTTGGTGATTGTAGAGCCACTATATTGACCCTGGGCTACTCAATGGGATCTACATGTGTGGGAGAAATGAACTTCGATTTTGTCTGAACCCCTGTTAGCTTCACTATCTGTAAAAGCAGTCAACCTTTATTCCATGTTGTTACCTCCTATACACACCTCCAGGGCAGCCTTGAATAATCTATTAGCCTTGATTATCTAGTAACTGTGTCTGGATGATACTTTGCATTTTGCCTACTCAGCCTCTGCATTTACTGTGATCCTCACCTGGATCATTTGCTCTCTTTTCTCTCCTTGCTCCCCTCTCTGCCCACGACCATCTTTCAGCACTCATATCAATACCTCTTTGTACTGGAGCCTTCCCAGAGCACTCTACATCCAATGAGTTCACTTTCCATTAATTCCAAGCTTCTGGAATCTGTACTTACAGTTTGGTTCAGTTCAAGACACACTAATTGGGCATCTCCTCTAGTAAGAAGGGTTTTGGTTAGAGATACAGAGTAAAGAGGTTCCCCTTTCAAGGGGTTTAAGATTATGGGTTGCCTGTCAAGCATCTTGAATTGTAATCTTCATTCACTCATTTATTCCACAAGCATCAATTTGACACCTACTGGGTGCTTGGCATGTTCCAGGATCTTTGTATTCTAAGGAGAAGAATATACAACCTCTGTTTCCAGAGAGCTCTCAACTCTTCATCTATTATTTCATTCAACAAATATATTTCTGGTTCTACTATGTGCCAGGCTGTAGGCTAGTAGGGGATTCAACAATGACAGAGCAGAGAGGATCTTTGCCCTCATGGAACTTAAGCTCTGGTTAGGGTAGGGACAGACCATAAGCACATTAACAAATAAAAGTGCGAGGTAACTGCATGTGATGTGATAGAGGAATATGATACAATGTGAAGTGGAGATTCAAGTCTACAAATGATAGTGAGGGGAGGCCTCTCTAAGGAGCTGATGTTTCAGCTAAGACATTGATGATAAGAAGAATTATTCATGGGAAGATGTGGGCAGATGCATGTCTCAGGCAGAGGAAAGAGCAAGTGCAAAGGCCCTGGGGTAGGGACAAACTTGGTGGGTTTTGAGTAATGGCAAGAAAGACAGTAGCTTGGGGCAGAGTGATCAGGGATTAGAGGTAAGAGATAGTATTGGAAAGGTCAACAGGAGCCTGAGGGGGGAAAAAACATCTAAACTCCTTATCTGGTTACAAGGGCTCCTTGTAACAGAGGAGTGAAATTATAGGATTTGTACATTTAACATCACTCTGGGTTATAGGGGGACTGGAGGAGTATCAGGGAAACCACTTAGGAGCCACCCAGGCAGGAGACAGGGTAGTTCTGATAATAGAAATGCAGATAAGTGGATGCACAATGGTGATATTTTGGAGGAAGAACTGACAGCACTGTGAAGATGCATGGAGTTGGGTTCCCATCCGGACTACGAGCTGCTTGAAGATGGGGACCCAGCTCCATACATACATAAATGAATAAATATAATACAGTACACTATCCAAGATGAGAAAGCTTCACACAGATCTCCCTGCTAACTGAATCGCCCATGATCTTGCCACCTACCCATCTCTTCTTTTCTATATAAAGTTCCTTGAGAGCCAACTCTTCTTTGCATCCCTGAAAGCTTGTGGCCTGAGGCATTGTACCCAGTGGTTGCTCCACAAATATTTGCTGGATGCCTTTAGACGTAACTCAATCCATGTTTATTATTATTATTATTATTATTTTGAGACAGGGTCTTACTCTGTCACCCAGGCTGGAGTGCAGTGGCACAATCTCAGCTCTCCACAACCTCCGCTTCCTGGGTTCAAGTGATTCTCCTGCCTCAGCCTCTCAAGTAGTTGGGATTACAGGTACCCATTATCATGCTCAGCTAATTTGAGTGTCTTTAGTAGAGATTGGGCTTCACCATGTTGGCCAGGCTGGTTTTGAACTCCTGAGCTCAAGAAATCCACCTGCCTTGGCCTCACAAAATTCTGGGATTACAGGCACGACCCATCATGTCTGGCCATCCACGTTTATCATTAATAACAATGTAAAGATTGTCACTATTGCGGGCTAATGCAATGTGCCAGGTACTGTGCTGAACATTTTGCCTTTACAATCTCAAATAATCCTTACTAAAATCTTGCAAGGTAGATTTTTTTGTTAGCCCCATTCTATAGCTGAGCAAATTGAGGTTTAAAAAGGTGGGGCAACTTGCCCCTGAACATGCAGCTTGTAAATGGTGGCATTAGGATTCAAACCTTGCTCTGCCTGGCTCTGGAACCCAGGCTCTTAGCTGAAAAATTGTATTCACTCCTCTTTTATGGATAACCAAGCCTCAACTGCATATATATATATATATATATATATATATATTTTTTTTTTTTTTTTTTTTTTTTGAGACAGGGTCTAGTCTGTCACCCAAGCTTAGCACTATCGTAGCTCACTGAAGCCTCTACTTCCCGGGCTCAGGTGATCCTCTTGTCTCACCCTCCTGAGTACCTGAGAACACATGCACACCATTACACTTGGCTATTTTTTAAATTTTCTGTAGTGACAGAGTTTTACCATGTTGCCCAAGCTAGTCTCAAACTCCTGGGCTCAAGCCATCCATCCACCCCAGACTCCCAAAGTGCTAGGATTATGGGCCCGAGTCCCCATGCCCAACCTACCTTGCATTTCTTAAAGAAGAAAAAAGGAATAAATGGGTGTGCTGCGGAGCTCCTGGGGCTGCTTCCACGTTGGCTTTCTCACTTACTAGCTGCGTACCCTTGGGAAAGTTCCTGGCTCACTGCTTCCACCCATCTCACAGTATCTGTAACCTTTGGTGGGTTAGGATGGAAAGACTGACCTAGATCACAGCACACAGCCATTTATATTCCTCTGCAGGCTTACAGTGAATGGAAAAGAACACTACCTGTGGCTTAGACACCTCAATTTTGCCACTTACTGGCTGTGTGACCTTGGGCAAGTTACTTTACCCCCTGAACTTCATCTATAAAATGGGGATGATAATACCAACGTCTATCTCCATGGTTGCTGGAAGAATTAAATGTGCCTGTAGCAAGCATCCAAAATGTGCTGGTTGCTGCCGTTTCTATTCTATAGGTGCGAGTTCACGATTAATAAAATGGAGAAGTAGCTACTTCAAGGACCTGTTTCTAAAGTCACGGTGTGGTATAACTGGATTCCTCTCAACAGCTACACCCTCCCCTTCTGTGACCTGAGGATTCTATATCCAGGGATTCCATCTTGGGATTCCAAGGCCCAGCAGCAGCTTGGAATGAGAAGGGTTAAGTATCCATCCAGCACACAGATGCAGAAAAACTTCACAAAGATGCAGAGGAAATATTTCCATTTCTGATAAGGAGTAAAAACGGAGCAACTCATTCCATATGGGCCGGAGAGAGGGACAGGAAGGAGCCGGTAGAGTCTGCAACATGCAGGGCAGGGCAGCTCCAGGCTGATGGATGACTGGCTGGTCCAGGACAGGCCAAGCAGTCTCCACCTTGAAGGGACCAGGAGGGAATGGAGAGAGAGAGAGAGAGAGAGCACGAGGGGATCTGAGTCTGAGACAAGGAGGGGCTTGCAGGACTTCACCCAATTTTTCTTGTGGGTGGCAGCAAGAATTTGTGCCAACATCTGTCATTTTGAACTAAATAGCAGCTTTAACCAGAAAGGGATGTGGGACTGTGGGAAGGGCACCGACATTCATTGTTTTTCAGCTTTGAGTCAATCTGGGCAAGTTCTGAATGGATTTTGAAGAAAATCACAGAGTACATCTTGGTGGGCTGTTAGACAAGACCAAAGAATGTTATTTCCCTTCAAATGGGTACCCCAAAAATAAATTAAATACTGCTTGAGTTGAATTAGATTACCTGGGCACTTGTCTGGATTTGTACCACCAGTGTGGGTTTCCTTCCGTCCTGTTCTGTTCCCGTCCTCCGGGGTAGTACTTCGGCTGTGCTCTCTGCCTGGAAGTACTGTTTTTCTTTTTTTTTTTTTTTAACCTGGGAATATAACACTTACGAATTCTGTTTCTTGGCCAGGCTCCTTCTAAGTGCTTTCTAGAACATTAACTTCTGTAATCCTCCCAGCAAGTGGTGGAGTTAGTGTTCTTTCTGTAATCCTCCCAGCAAGTGGTGGAGTTAGTACTCTTTCTGTAATCCTTCCAATAAAGCTGTAGGATTAGTACTTTCATCATCATCCTACTTCTATGAAAGAGGAAGCTAAAGCACAAAGAGATGATATAACCTGTCCTCACCCCTCAGGTGAGCATGGGCTGGCACCCACATTCCAGAGTGGCCTGGCTTCAACTTTCACACATCTACCATTATGCTGGACCCTCCTCTGACTCCTCCTGCATCTTCAGGTCTCTCGTGGATTTTCCTGGTCATGGACCGTCTCCTAGGCAGCTTTAAGAGCCAGGTACTGCATCCTCTGCTCACCTCTTCAGCCCATTTAATTGCCCTCATTAGGGTGTGAAAGAGTCATAGTCTCGCCCCATTCCAGATCTCCTTTCAAGAAAGAACTCTCTGCCCAGCTGTGAGCAGCTCAGAAGCCCACAGATCTAGCTGCGGCCACTTCCTGAGTCACCTTGGCTTCTGGCCAAAGCCAGGGTCTTTCCTGGCTGATGACTGCGCATGTCTAAGGTATGGGCCTGGGCAGTATTGCCTGGCCATCTCTGCTCCAGAGCTCCGTGCTGTGTGGACTGAGGGACTGAGGTGCTGCTGTTCATCTCCGTGGCAGCTGGAGGCTCTCCCCGCTCATCTTACTTCCCCACTTTCTTTTTCACTAACCTCCTGAGGGCGGGGCCTGTGGTCTTTCCAATCCCTAACCGTGTACCCAGTAGACACTCGCTCCATATTTGTAGTGAGGTAATATTTTTAAAACAATAAGTGATTTTTTTGATCTTTTAATGTTTACTGGGTTTTGTTTGTTTGCTTTTTTGAGACAGGGTTTCGCTTTGTCACCTAGGCTGGAGTGCAGCATTGCGATCACAGCTCATAGCAACCGGCAACTCTGGGGCTTAAGGGATCCTCCCATATTACAGACTTCCTTTAGTTAAACACTTACCGCTATGCATTTTTAATTTTTTTTTAGATAGGGTCTCACTCTGTTGCCCAGGCTGGAGCAGTGGAGCGATCATAGCTCGGGGCAGCTCTGAACATCAGGCTTCTAGCAATCTGCCTGCCTCAGCCTCCAGAAGAGCTGGGACTACAGGTGTGTGCCACCAAACCTGGCTACTGTTATTCTTTGCATTGTGCCAGTCACTCCCAGCCCCCAGCCTATTTTGTCACTTCCAACCTCCATTCCAAAAAGAATTTTTTTTCACTCCTTGTTTCAGGGAAAAGTTGAGATAACAGAAAACAAAGGAAAATAGAATCTCCCTCCAGCTTTTGAAATTCAAAATCCTATGCCCTTTAATGAGGATCTCAGGTCCCAGAAAATAAGTTTGGCATTTATTATGAATAAGTATAGGCTTCAACCCTTGAGCCAGAAAAGGATATCCAGGCTGGAAGGGAGGGGTAAGGATAGGGAGAATTTCAGAGGGAAAACAGATAAAGGAACAAGGGGAAAGAATCTGACCTAAAGAGGTGGACAGACAAGAGGCTGGATCAAACTCCACCTGAAGGTGCATTTTTTAGGAAGCAGGTAGGATCTGAGCAGCATTAGATTTCCCAGCTTCTACTCCAGAAAGTTGGGGATTACACTGGCTATCTTTCCCGGTGGCATCTGGCCAGGGTCTCTTGTCCATCACAATGAGCATGCTACTTATTGCACATTCACCCCACAGAGGCCCTGAGATTTGCCAGCTCCCAGTGTGACTTTCCATCAGAACAACCTCCCCCCTTCCATCATTGCAGGACACGTATAAGCCCTAGAGATGGAGGGTAGGGTTCTGAACATACCAAAGAGGCTGGTGGTTCAGAGGACCGAAAGTCCCCTGTGTACTGGGCCTGGACAGTACTTTGACCAGCCCAAGTTTTCCATGGAACTGGGGTAGTTGTAAAAGACTCTGCTGCTTGTTGATGAACATCTAGCTTTATCCAGGCATTGGCTCAAATGTTATTCTCCTAGGAGGTCTTCTCTGACTTTGGACCAAGGTCTTAGTTATTCTCCAACTTAGCCACAGGTCTATTTCCTTCCACATGTCACCATCAAAATTAATCTTCTGTATTTATTTACTTTTTAGCATCTCTCTCCTGCCTAGCAGGTGAATTCCACAGCTGTAAGATCACGTGGTCTTGTTCACAGTTCTGTGCCCAGTGCTTGGCACAGGGCCTGTCCCATCCCCATCCTGCAGGAGGCACTCAATTGCCTTGAAGGAATAAATGAGCTCTCCCTTGTCTTCAAAAGAACATCCAAACCTCTCAATGTGTCATTGCAAACTTCTTGTTGGCAAATGAATGAATTCATTTGGGTGTAAGGGAGCAAGTGGAGGATTCGGAATAACTACTGCAATGTTAGTTGGAATCAGACCAGTCATGGAAGCAGAAACCATGTCAGCTGGGACAAGAGGGCTTGTCATTGAGCTCAAGAGACAGAAATGGTCCAGGTGGTCACCTGTTGCTTGAGATAAGCTGTAACGACACTGATCTGCCTGTTACGTTCTCGCTGCTATGAAGTGGACTTTGGCTAAGTTTAAAAGTCTGGCCTTCTTCCTCCTAATTTCATTTTAATCAGATAAAATTCCTGATCACTCAACTTGGTTTATGGTCTCTTAAAAGTTTCTCTGCAGAAGCCACAAGTCCTTCAAGGATCATCCCAAGTTGGGACCTCCATCAGCTTGCTTTCTGCATGAGTCCTTGATGGGCGCTGAATTGATCTCATCTGTTCACTCCGCCTTCAAAGCCAATGATAGGAGCTGTTTGCCAGGGCCCTCTGGGGAGGTAGATCCTCCCTGCCGAAGGTGGGAGGGTTATCTGAGGGCACTTTGTATTCTCTACTTGATTCAAGAACCCAGGAGTATCTCCAGTCCCCAGTAGTTGGTCAAGAAGGGGAGGAAGGAGAGGCAGGTGAGAACATGGGAGCTGGTCTGTTCTGGAGGGTTAGGGAAAAACAAGCAAACTAAGAACAGCAAAGACGAACCTAATTAATAAGCACCTAGGGAGCCTTACCTAAAATGTATTTAGAACTCTATGTATTTCCAAAGTAATCTATAGCTTTAAAATAAAAATTAAAAAACACAGGCAAGCCAAAAGAAATAAAACACATATATATTTCTAATCCCTCTGCCTAGACATAACATCATTAGCATGTTGTGGTTTAGCTTTCCAAAAATTTTATGCATAAATATATGTTTTTATTAAAATAGAGCTATAAAGTATATACTGTTATATAACTTCTCACTTAGCAATATGTCAGGACGTATTTCCTTGAAAACAAATGTAGATCTACATCATCATTTTAATTGTTACATACGAGTCCAATGTATGGAAGACCCAGGATTAAACAGTAATTTAACCAGCTTATTATTGTTAATAATTAGGTCCTTTCCAATTTCAGGCACTCATAAATAACAGTGTAGTGAGCACCCATTGATTTTCCTCTTTTCATACATTTCTGCATATTTCTTTATAATAGATTAAATTTCTGGGTCAAAGGGTATGTACACTTTTATGGCTTTTTTTATTTTGAGACAAATTCTCGCTCTGTCACCCAGGCTGGAGTGCAGTGGTACAGTCTCGGCTCACTGCTACTTCCGCCTCCTGGGTTCAAGCCATTCTTATGCCTCAACCTCCCAAGCAGCTGGGACTACAGGTATGCACCACCACACCTGGCTAATTTTTAGTAGAGATGCAGTTTTGCCATGTTGGCCAGGCTGGTATCAAACTCCTGACCTCAAGTGATCTGCCCATCCCAGTGTCTCAAAGTGCTAGGATTACAGGTGTGAGCCACAGTGCCTGACCCTTTTCTTTCTTTTTCGATATATGTTGCCAAGATGCCTTTCTGAAAAGTGTATCAGTTAAAGTCTCATGAGAATTATTAATGAGATGATGCCTTGATAAAAATTACTTAAAAAAGACAATATAGAAATATAAAGGAACAGTATTGTTTTTAATTTTCCTTCCCAGAGAAGATTGTATTTTTACTATACTGATACGAGCTCTCAATTTCTAAATGATCTTTCTAGGCTAACTTCACCCTCTTCACAAGATTTGCTACTGGACTGTAAGCTCTGGGAAGCAGAGGTGGTATTTGCTTTGCTTGTTTTTTGCTTGCTACAACCAAGTTCAGGGCCTGGTATGCAGTGGGTGCTTGTTATATTAGTTATCAATTGCTGTATAATAAATTAGCCACAAAGTTAGCAGCTTAAAGCAATAAATATTGATTATCTCACATAGTTTCTGGGAGGGGGGTTCTGAAATCTGAGAATGGCTTTGCTCTGTGGTTCTACTTCAGGGTCTCTCAGTTGCAGAGACTTGAAGTTGCAGTCCATGTATCAGTTGGGTCTGTGATCTCATCTGGAGGCTTGATGGTGGCTGGAGGATCTTCCAAGATGGTGCACTCACATGGCTGTTGGCAGGAGGCCTCAGTTCTTTGTCACATGGATTTCTTCACAGGGCTGCTTGAGTGTCTTCATGGCAGCTGGCTTCCCCCAGAGAAGTGATCCAAAAGAGAGGGCAATGTGGAAGCTGCAGTCTGTTTTATGACCCAGCCTCAAAAGTCGTGCTCTGTTATTTCCACAATATTTTCCTAGTTACGTAGGTCAGCCCTATTCAGTGTGGTAGGGTCTTACACAGCTAATTTCAGGTGGCAGAAATGATTGGGGGTTGCTTTGAAGGCTGGCCACCACATTTATTAAAATGAGCTGAATAAATGATTGAGTGAATGCATGACAGCCTGAGAACCAGAAAAGGTTAATGACACTCACTAAGCCTTACAAGCTGTTCTGTATAGAGATGGTGTAATCATCTGAGAACTGACTTTGGGCTAAGCTGTGGATTCACTGTAGAAGCTGCCAGTCTGAAATATTCCTTCCTGAGTCAAGATGGGTGAACAAAGGCTAACAACTCCCCAAGACATCTGGGAAATTCCCAGGGGAGGTGGAATCTTGTAGTTCAGACCACAGGCCCAGAAGGAGGCTGGTTTCTGCTTCTTTAAGGAATGTGAGACCTACATGTCAATCAAGATGTGGTGAGTCATTTGGGCCAAGAGAGGTCACTCTCATCATAAAATACTCAGTAGTTTATGACCTCTATAAAGCCATTAGCCCAGGGAGATGAGGGGAAAGTGGTTTCTAGCACCCTTTGCCTCTCTGAGATCCATTAGCATCAGGATTGTAAACTCGGTCCTGGGCTGCGCGTAACTGGTTTTATTATCCATCGATTACCTGTGTGTGTCAGCAAGTCTCAAGCATCCTACAAGCATAGATCTGGTCATATAACAATGGGCAACTCCCGGCAATTCAGCTCTACTCTAGGTCTCAGTTTCCTCATCTGCAGAGTAATGGGCTGCATGAGATCCAAGGTTCTAACATTTCTCACCATCAAAATCAACTTATTTTAGTTTACTTCTGTCATGTTTATGCCATGTTTGAAATGATTTCTCTAGCAATTAGTCTTCCTTAAAAACTGATTTATCTTCCCCATTAATATTGCTAAGGACCACTAGCTTTATAGAGAAAGAAATATATAACTGACAATCAAAAATTCTGATGACCACAGGCAGGCAGCACTCATGGTCACAACATCTTTCATAACATCTTCACCAAGCTGAGAACTGAAGGAGTGATTTGTCTCCAAGAATCATTCCCTAATATTTGCATCCAACATTTATTGACAGTTTTCTATGTGCCAGATATGGTTTTGAGCACTTTGCATATACTAAGCTCCTAATCTTTACAACAACTCTTTGAGATAGGAACTACTACCAACCCCATTTTATAGATGAGAAGATTGAGGCACAGAAAGGTTACATCACAGGCCAAATAGAATAGAGTTTATTTGTAATGAAGGCAGGACTTAAACTTATGCCATCTAGTACCAATGCTGAGATGTTAGCCACTACGGCATGCTGCTTTTCTCTGGCCACATTTCCCCAAGGTTCTACTGTGATAAGTACCCATTTAGAACGTCTTCTGGAAGAAATATACTTGGGTAGCCAACCTACTCAGTTTAGGCTTTGGAAGTAGAGAACTAGCCTTTGAATCATTGTGGGTAAGCCACTTCACCTCTCTGAGCTTCCATTTCTTCCTCAGTAAGATGGAGATAGTCTTATCTTGCTCAAGATTGCTAAGGAGAGGAAATGGCATAGAGTGTGCAAGGTACTCGGTTAATAGGGACTAGCTAGTATTTCTATTCTTAACCAAAGGAAGTGATAACAGACATGACAAAGGCAATCTGCATTGTACATGCAAGATGGAATTCATCTCCCAGGTAAACAGGTGGGGGTATATGCTAATGGAAAAAGAAATACTGGTTCCTTATTTGGCAAGAGGTAGTATAGGTGGAAGTTGGGATAGGTTGGAGATTGGAAGAAATCGTGCCTGTATTATCCATTGAGTTTTCTGGAAGGAGACAATGAACCAGAGTTTGAGGTGAAGATGTTTACTGGGGACCATATTTATGAAAGGGAGGGGGTGTTTATTTCTCTATTATGTTCTGTCTCTTCTGCACGCTGACCCAAGAAGGGCATGAGGTGACTCTCTGCAGCTGAGAAAGGCCCTGGAGGGTCTGCTGTCCATCTTGCCTGCTACTGGACAGCAAGTCTTCCTTTGAAGAGGGATCTACAGGTGCATCTTCATGTCTACCAAGCCCACTAGGCTGATGGGATGATGAAAAGCAGGAGAGGAACAATGAGGTTTGGGAGCTGAATTGACAAACCACATTTTAGCACACTTTCTGCCACTCCTTCTGATCCTTCTACC